GTTCCACTAGTGCCTGGGGCACGATGTACATTGACAAAGGATAGGCTGCCTATCTTCACAAAACAGTAGTCAGATATCGGGCCTGATGACGATGGAAAGAATTGATTCGCTTGAATGCCTTTCCGCGTGAAAGTGATGGCGCTGAGCCGGACGTCTATGTTTCGGGCTAGGCCCGGCTGGGTTCTGGCTAGGCTGTTTAAGGATCCAGGACCCATCCTTATCTTGAAGGCGCAAGCGAGTTTGTAAATCTTCTCACTATACGGGAGTATTATCAGATCACGTATAAAGGGCAAGGGTATCTGGAACAGGCATTGTAGTTATAAAGAGCCGTAGCTTCCCTCTCGTAATTTCTTCATAGAGAATATAAACATTTAATTGTGGCATTGCTTTCGTGCATCGGCCGAAAGTCCAAGCCTATCACAGTCTATTCCTATAAATGGTATGTCGCTATTATAGCCCAGATGACATTTTGTGATAGGACCCCTCTCTTTCTGTCTTGTCCATGGCTCCTGTACCATGACTACATGTGCACCGGCATCTGTTGGAAATTCTGATCCTCGAATTTAGGACTCAATCATTATCTGTTTCGTCTCAGGTTCCCGACAAGATCGACTCCCTCTACACATGTCCCGAGTACGCTAATCGCGCCTATTATTACATATACGTCTGGATATTTACGTACTACAGTGTATCTTGGCTCATCATGATAGATGAGAGGTGGCTGGTCATCACTAGGTTTGACAGGCACATGAGACTAGCGGGAATTTCTCCCTCGGATGTATATATAAGTCCAATGTTCCCGTAGTTGTAAAATATCAAGTCTTCTTTACTTCATCATACATATCCATATAATATCGTACAGAGTATATTTTCCAACAGCATCCCATGCCTGCTGCATTGCTGTATCCGTATTTCCCCCACCCCTTCCGACATTCACTTGGTAAAAGCGGAGGATGTTGTGCTTATCTCTTTGTGCTTTTGTTGAGGGGTTTCCTAACATTAACACGACATAGTTGAATCCTGGGCAATGACGGTTTCAACTGCATTGCCTTTCCTTTCAGAGTACGCTCGAGCAGCGTGATAATCACGGTGTCTTCGTTCTCTGATGATGTGAAGTTCTGCAGGGATACGGGGCAATTATCTTGTTTTTTCGTCTTGGCCGGACCATACATCTACCCTCATTTAAGTGGTGAGGTCCCGCACAATTCGAGTGATTTGCCACCTTGGCCTGGCACTCTAATGTCTCGTGGGTTCCTCCACATGTCCCACATCGTTGGCTCCGGGTACAGGAACGCGTTGTGTGGAATCCCCAGCAACGTTGGCATTGCTCGATTGGTCTTCGGCGCGAGAAGGGAATTGCTGGTCCGCTCTCGTCAAAGAGACGAAACTTTATGTTCGCTGGTTTCTGTTGGAAATGTACAATCCAGCTCGTTGAGTATTGGCCAAGTTTTGTGTTGGTATAACAGCGGCTTGGAAATTTAATGTGCTGGCACAAATGTTCTGGTAATAGATTGTTTTTGTAAAAATGACCATGTATTCTATCTTTTGAATTTGAATTTGATTTCAATTAACCCGATCAGGCACCCTATGGGTCCACGCAGGTGACTATCTGCATTATTTACAAAGGAGGAAACCAATTTGGTGAAAACCCCCTGATCCCGTCTTTTTATGTTCCTATCAATTTATTTGGTTTATCTTCAGGAAGTGCAGTGTACACTGTTCAGCCTGTGTGGATTCCGTCCTCTCCCCTTCCAGATCTATTTACTTTATCCGACATTGCTACCTCGACTTCTCCTGCCAGTCGAAACTGTTTTATCCACCCTTTGTTTAGTATCCACTGTGTAATTCTGGCCATGTCTTCTGGACTGTTCATCATTGCTTCAAATGACCTGTCTTAAGCTTGTCGGAGAAAGTCGCCTCTTCCATTTGCCCACTGCGGACACGCCAACACCATATGCTTGACGTTTTGCGACGGATATCCACATTGACAGCTTCTCTATGCATCTGACGCGCATTCGAGAGGGATCCCCGACCTGACTGGTTACATGGACGTGATAGCGGAAATTGCTATCCCAGCTTTGTCGGTAATTATTTTCTTGATCGTGACTGGCGATAACTTGTGCCAGTGGTAATCTTTCCTCAATCGTGGGAATAAGCGCTTGTCATCCTTTGGGGCTATCTGGGGTTTCGGGTTACCTGTTGGAGCAGGCCTTCACGGAAATTGCACGTTTGGCAGCGTCGATGGATTGGCCGCTTTGCGGCCAACTGTCACCAAGGGCAAGCTGGTATCCTAAGGCTTTGAGGGTAGGACGTGGCTCTGAAACTCAACATCTGTATTGTTCCTAGGCACGACTGGTTTGGGAGTTGTTGTGGTTGTGAGCCATTAGGTATATGGCAATTATATGACTCTACTGTCCATCGGTGGAGTTACGCGGGCTCATGTGCAATGGTGAGTCGCGAAGATGGCGCGCTCACGCTGGGTGATGGCACGATGTACACTGAGTGCGTATCACTGTGGCCAAATGGGTGTCAGAAGGTATCAAATGAGAAATTTACTGTCAATGGTGATCTATGAAGGTGATGCTAGACGCGCATCCTGACTTTTGATAATATCAACTAATGTATGATGTGAAGTATGATATTATTCTGATAGATTGGTAGATTGATTCACTATGCTCGGCAGGTGAAGAGATTGTAGAGTACATGAACAGCGTCTGTGCACAAGCCTGTATTTTCTATCCTTTCCTAATACAGCAGCCCATCCTCCTTTCCCCTGTCTCCTAACAACTCAACCGAGCCAGCACAACAGGAGTGCTTGCCATGGTGGGGGGCTTCTGGCTGATCTACTGCGAAGGTAGTGATAACAGGCGTGATATTTTCCATCAGAGTCGCGACGACTGCTGCTGCTTTCTTGTCTCCTCTGCTGTTAGCCCAGGAGTCGTTTAATTCAATAAATTCCTGGACTGTGTCTAATCTTTCCTTTCTTTCTTGTTCTGCTTTTTGAATTGCATTTATATTGCCAAGCAGGCTTGGGTGAAGTTGGCCTCCTGGAATGAAGGGCAATAACGATGACGATGCAACAGCTGGGGTTATTGCACTGGTTCGTGGCTCTTGTATATAAGGTTACGAGTGATATTTCATGGAATGGGTCGGGAAAAACATGTGATGATTAAGTGACATCTTTATCGAACGATTTTATTTTGGTTTTGTTTAAATCTAACGTCGTACTTGTCCACAGCATGTACCTGTCGCCGGATCGATTGCTGTTGATATACAGCAGAGCAAGTCCAGTATAAAATCAGTTGATTAACGAAGTCTAAAGATGGAAGGTTTCGTACATCTTGTTATTTACATAAGGGACTTAAATTAACGACGCTGATCATAACAGCCTCCGTTGCTTAGCAACCGTTTCCAATCTCTGAGGATCCAGGATCATAAATATTGTATTATAATTTGTCACGTGTACCCCAGCTTTTATGCATAATGCACGCTAAGCTATAAATCTGTATATACTTGACACATCCTGTAAATTTAGAAGACACTCTCACATCGTCTTAAGATTTCACCATACAGAAGATATAGTAGAAATCCCGAGACATCGTGACCTACGATTTCCGTATATTCACATTTTATCACCCTAGCATCCTAGGAACTCAAAACCTCATCTCCACCCTCGGCAGTCTCTATAGCTGACTAGACCCTAGATTCCATCTCTACCGTGCCGGCGCAGACAGTTCACACACAAGGAAGTATTCCCGTAACAGTAACTATCGAAACGTGACGGCCGGCCTAGTCCCCAACGAACTTTCCGACGCTCTAGCTCGCCCTAAACCACCCAGAAGCTACTAAAGTAGCGGAACTGCTGTCCGCCACATGGAAGGGGAAAGCTACAGATCGCGAATGTGTCAAGGGCTGGTGGCCGAGGCTGAGGAGGAATTTGCGCTTCGGCGCGCCAAAAGAGGGTTTTCTGGACGGTTGGGCTTGACATTATTCAACACATGGGTGTAGTCTGAGGTGGTCCGGTCATTCAGGTGGGACGAGGTAGATATACTTAATGGTAGTTAACCTGTTCCAGCCCGACCCCACCCGTGCTTAAGCTTCAGTAGGAGTGTAACGGTAGTCACTTTCCATAGCACGTTAATGACCAAACCAAACCTGCTGTCCGCCACATCGATCTTTCAATACACATAAAGCAAATCTCCCTCTACAAGGATCTTTACATCTGATTACGAGCTGTTTGAGATTAGGCTCGCAGGCTGTACAAGGAATTAAGACAACGCTACGGAAGAAGAGATTGTGAGTCCTTCCATCCAACATTAGTTCACCACAAGATGCCTTCTATCTCAGGGGCATCTAGTGGGCTCTTTGAACTTCATCTACTCAACCCATTATCCGAAGGCGAGGGCACATTCATTTGAGCGACTTTCAAGGTGAAGCTAAGTACATCATTTGTAGTCACGCTTATCTTAGCAACGTAGACTAATTGAGAGCCCAAATTTCTCTATCCTCAAACAATCATCGCTATTTTCAGAGAACAGTCCGCCAAATTCTCTCGGATACCACTTTACAAAGTAAGAGAATTCGCGCTTGACAAGTGGATTTTATCGAGTAATGTCATCAATACGTACAGCTGGGTAGGTTAAGTTCTCTTACCTTGAATATATTGGATGACGATAGCCACGAACGAGGAGTAGTGAGTATCTATGGAAGATGAACTCGTTAATATACAGAAAGATTAAAGCAAAGCTGTCTAGTTTGACAAACTTCACACCGAAACCTCAATACAAACCAATTCAAGCACGAGTAGCGCCAATAAAGGAAGTAAAATGCTCCATCGATTCTGATGTAAATTGTTAATTAAAATTGGCATACCCTTTAAAACTATATCTCTCAATTAGTTAGAAAATTCATAACAAAATTTTCCTGCTTGTCATTTACTTCAAGCATTATAAGAAAACATCTCTCGATCGTCTTATATCTATTAAAAGCATCTATATAATTCAAGGAAGATCTTGAGATGAGTTTATCTCTTGCATCTCATTTTGCTTCTCCACGTTCAAGGCGACACTAAGCCATGCATCCGCGAGGTCTGCGTGGAAATAGGGGCAACTTAACCCAAAAATTAGATTTACATGTGGGCGAGCATCGAGTTTCGAACTTTCCACCAAGTTGAAACTATTATTAATGACCTTAGCATCCGAGGAGCCCAGAGTATTTTGATCACGCTCTTGCTTAGATTCAATCACTTGAGTACTCTTGGGAGCAGAAACTGAGTTTTCTTCCCTAACTATTTCCGCAACGCTGAAATTAGGTCTCCAACGTTTTGATCTATTTTCTTGAAGTGAGGGATAGCCAAAACCAGCCCCTTTAAGCGCACGCTTTGTCCATGGGCTACTGATATTGGTAAAATGCCAGTCAACTACGTTCGGATGGGCCCAGAAATCAAGTTGATTTCGTACATCAATCAGTTTCTGCATAGAGGTAATATCCACATTGTTAACTGCCGAAAAGTCAAGTATTACTGCTTTCAGAGTCGGTAGTTCCTCGCATTCATCATTAGGATTCTGTCGCGGTGCAGGATCGTTCCAGGGTCTATCACCAGCTCGAACGTTAGAAATCCCACTAGTGCGCCGGGTCTTTGAGAGTATATGATCTGTGAGTTGGTCCAAGTGGTGGTTTGCGTTGAGATAATTAAAGCCATCAGTAAAGCGGAATACAAAAATCCCTGAGCATGGAGCTTGCACTCGCACATCTGGATTGACCCCATCTGAACGGTCGAGCGGCAAATATAAATTTCGCGGGTAAATCTCATCTGAAATCTCATCTAGATGGATCGGATTATTAACTTCCACGACTGAGAGGGGTCTACGTTCATCACAAAGGATTCTATCTCCTGTAGCCGAAAAGACCTTTACTCGACCGAGAAATTTTCCCTTAGCCTTGATAAAACGAAATATAAACAAGAAAATGGATGCGACCATGGTCGAATAAATTCCATTTTCAATTGTCGAGAAAAGGGTTACTATAACACCAGTTATCAATATTGGTACTTCGATAGGTGAGACGCGCCAGAACTGATAAGTGGTATTGGGTGGAGTGATGAGATCGAGAACAGCATGGATTATGACAGCTGATAAAGTTGCTCTAGGAATATATTGGAAGACGGCTGGGAGAGCATATATTGCTAGTAAAACTACGGCAGCTGTGACAACGCCAGCGATTGGTGTTCGTACGCCAGCCTTTGAATTGATAGCTGTCCGCGAAAAAGATCCAGTGGAGGCAAATCCCCCGATAAATGGCCCGAGTATGTTGGCCATACCTATGGCAACCATCTCCTGTGATGGATTAATAACATAGTTGTTGACCCGACCAAAAGATTTTGCAATGGCAATGTGCTCAATTAGAAGAACGGTAATAGCGGCTGGAAGTTCACTGGCAAACATGGCGATGCTTGACCTGTTAAGTCGGGGTACACCAGCAGCAGTGAGACCTAGTGACCCGGGTTAAAGTTTGGAACCCAAGTGTTCGGGAACTTACCTCTTGGAACTTCGGAGATGATGTTGAATAAAGGCTCCCTACGATTGTTTCGATTTACAAGCCAACTGATCATCGTATATAGCATGATAATAAAGACAGTGCGTAGCGTTGATAGATAGAAGAAGAGCGTCTTCTTTGACGGGTGTTTCTTGATGCTAAATGCACAAAGCCATCGTATAGAATATAGAAGAAAAAGTGCACTGAGACCAAGAGCTGCATCAAGTCTTGTTCGGTGAAGATTTCTTAAAGTATTGGTGAGGACTCTGTAAGAATTGACTCGGGTATCAATACTAGAAATACCCATCAAACTAGGAATTTGGCCAATTGCAATACTGATGGCGGAGCCCGTCATAAATGCTGAAATAGACACGAGTGGTACTAGCTCAACAATCCAGCCGCAGCGAGCAAGACCGATGAAGGTAATGATAATACCACAGACGAGGGAAAGCGAAGATGCAAGAACGGGTGTCGGTATATGTGGATTTGTCAATTTAGCTTCGGCCACAATATTGCCGACCAAAGCAGACATAACAGCTACCGGCTACTCAAATGTTAGTTCAAATGATACGAATGAATAGTATCATATGATTTCCTACGCCAATGCTTATATCCTTGGAGGTTGCGAATAACCAGTAGAATAACACGCCCATAAATGACGTGTAGAGTCCATACTGAGGTGGAAGACCGGCAAGGATGGAATAGGCCATACTCTGTGGGACAACTATAGCCCCTACTGTGATGCCTATGAATCATTAGATTTTTGAAAGTTGAGGGGTGACAATGTTTATACCGGCGATAAAATCACCGAGAAACCATTGTAGATTATAGCTTAAAATCCAATCAGTAAATGGAAATATTGAGCACACATAATCGAGCAGCTGGATGTACGAAGGTACTTTCTGCCGCATCCAATCCAAGGTGTGCGGTTCCTCTTCAAAATATGTGCTCGCTATCTGACTGGCAAATATCGATTCACCGCGCAGCAACTCATCTACGGGCATGACCTGATGATCTACTCGAAGACCCAGGCCCTTCACTATGCCTTTAGTGATCCGCTTCATGTTGAGAATTAGGCCAGTTGGCAGGCTCTATACTATCCTCGGGGTTGGAGTGGGTAGGGAAGGGGGAAATTGGAGTATAGACAGATAGGACACCATGAAGAGGAGAGACTCTGGTAAAGCGGGTATCTGTTTTATCAAGACTGTTCGATGAATATGAGAGTCAGGAAGAAGACAATACACATTTCTTCTTCTACGACGTTGATGCAAGGCAGCATATCACGGCGGTAAAGACGACGACAAGACGAGGTGAGTTAAGTTGCAGTGGTAGTAGAGATAGTGAGAGCTGTAGATGTTGAGGTAATTGACATGAATATTATGGCAGTAGAAGACTGTAGCTAGGTTAGTTGACTGCTAGCTGGCGTATCAATTGAACTTCTCCAGCTCAGTCGAGTTGAAGTGGCACCGGTCGAAAACGGCATCGCAACAGGTACATCTCCCTAATATAAAAAAGATCAACCCCTGACCATCCCAGCCGTCGTGGATCCCCGGTGCTTCCGTCCGTGGTGTCCTCACCGCCCCATTCCTCCGACCCGCGAATTGCCACTCGCACTTGCTCTTGGGGCGGCGGAACTCCCCATGCAAAATGTAAATTTTAAAACAACAGGGCAGATGAAGATTGCAGGATAAGGCTGGCTTGAGCCCCTCGCTCGCAATTACTCTGGAGCCACGTGAATGGTGGCATCTGCGTAAACGTTAACGTTCAACCAACTATCCGTCGTCAATGCGGGTTATGATCCCTGCATATACCGAATGGTGAAGCATGATAGAACATCGGATACTTTTGGGTTTCCGACCAACGGCCCTTCGAAGTACGTGTGACGAGCAGGTAAGGGTAGGAGAAATTTGCCGGTCAATAAGGTCGCATCTCTGTCCAGTCTGATACTAAGCCCGATCCGAACGAGAAGCCCAGAGTCACAGAGTAGGGAAGTCGCGATGCAACATCAGTATTATTCGTACCAGACTTCAGAGCTTTCTCTGAGTTCATGTTTCCAGCTGCGAAGACGTGGTGGTCCTGATACCTTGCGGCAGGGATTTCTTAGAGGATAATCCCCGATACGGAGTTTATACAGTCATACAATCGTAATGTTGCTCATCACGTGCCACTCTTAGTTTCTGTGTTCGTTTATTACTCTATTGAGTCTCAGAGCCGAAGAAGCCGGTGTTTTCGCTTGCCAGTGGTGCTGGCGTAATCGCTTAGTATGCTCTGCATATCTGGGATAGCCAAGAAGAATCGTAACCGAATCAAAGTCTAAAGCAATCTCAGGCACATCCAAAATCAATGACTTCTCATCAGTCTCGGACCTATCTTGCTCACGCGAGTCCCCTACCTCAATCTTACTACACCACCTCGCCTCAAATACCGATAAAGGCGTTACTTCAATTGCATACGAGAATCTGTCTCATCAAAAATCGGCCATCTCCCAATACACATTTACGATGCTATGTATACCCGCGAGGAAGAAACTAAGTCATAATACGCAAAGCTCAGGTCTTGGTCTATGGGAGACCGTTGCTCTAATGGGGCTTCGCAGTTCTCGAGTTTAGAGTACTTGATGGTGTCGAGGTTACGCTTTCGAATAGTGCTACCGAAACTTTAAATACTGGTAACTTTGCAAGGTATTGTAGTCCGCCTCCTGGTCGTTATCTCCCCGAATTAAAATCTGAGTAGCCTGGACACCTACCTCACTCGAGAAAGGGAGGACTGTGAGACCATAACTCGCGCGGCGGCTATATTCAAGATGGCGAAGGCTTGTTAGGGTAGCCAAAGGTTTTTCCTGTTTTCCCTTTGGTAGATATTAACGGTTAAGGGAAGGGTGAAAGTGCCTAGCGCAAAGGTCTCAAGTGGTATTAGGGATTGCATCCACTACACGAGTGGTCCAAACTTCAGACTTCGTTATCGTCGTTCATACTCATCGGGGAAGGACTAACCTTCTCCGTGTCATGCTCTATGAGTGCTCGGCTTGTACCCTTCACGAATAAATATCTATCTACTGAGTCTATCAAAAAGTCACGATATGTGAATACTTTCTGCCTACATTCTTGGAATATGTGTGCTTTCTTTACCTTTTTTTTTCAGCGAGAATACCCCCGCCGATCTTCATTTGAGCCGACCTTGAAGGAGTCGTTATCTTGTCTTTATTACTCAGATACAGCCAATAAATCGATGGCCAATTGCAGGAATGTGGCAGCCGCGAAAATTGGCATGAACCACTTGGTGCAGGGCTCTCCCTACACCGACATCATGACTGAATTCGAAGATATGGCTTCCATTCCGAAGCGTTCGGTGAGACCGGTCAGCCAGGCAGTGTTGGCTAGTGTAAACACTAGTAAATTACACCATTCTCTTTAAGCTTCTTTTCCTATCCTTTCACCATTCGTGCTTCGGAAAAAGTCGGAATTCATGTTGAAATGGTACAAAATTCTTTGCAAAGAGTCTAATCTTCTTACCAGCCTGGTCCAGGTTTTTTGCATTATCTTGGGTGTGGGGGGACATTTTGCAATAATTACAATTTGAAGTTCTCTTGACTCGGTAGTTACTACGGTGAGAGCTGGAGGTTTGCCAGAGACACTATTGTCGCATGTTTATTCATCTTCCTCTGTGGATGGATAGGCCATCTGCGGAGATGAGAATATCACTCTTCCATCATCTGTCTACGAGAAGGGTAGAATAGCTAGGACTGAGGAAGCCCACGTGAATAAATCATGGCCCTTTACTCGACCCGCACTAGCCACTCACCTGGATTGAATGATTCACGAACTGCAATGTCCAGCCAAAAATGGCTAGATTTCAAAGCTAGAGCTCTTAGACTCTGTCCCGTGTTATCCAAATAGCATTTGTTAGACTGCAAGTTTCCGCCGCTGATCCTGCGATTGTTGGTAGTCAAGCTTTCGGATATGCGCATAATTTTGGAGATAGCTTGTAACTTGGTTTAGAACACATACTACATGGCATGTGCGGCTTCTATCTTTAACTTTCTGACTTGGCTATAATTGTAGGTGACTATACGAACATGATAGAGCATGCTTCACAGGAATTCTTTCCGTAATTGATATGCAGTTAGTATTATTGGTAAAGATTTTACCTTATTTACAATAATCTGCAATCGCTGACATATCATGTCCTCGACTAAGAGACTATAATTGTTTTACATCGAGATAGCTAGACTACTAGAGTCAGCTAAGAAGATACCTAGTGGATGCCATTGTAGTTATCATTTATTTGTTTGAATACTATCATACTAGATAATTGGTGCCCTCTGCATTGCCTTAGGAGTTAGATCAGATTTGTTACCGTTAAATACATAGACCTCGTCCCACCTGAATGACTGGACTATCCCAGATTTTATTAGCGTATTAAACATGTCAAGTTCATCCATCTGGGGAACCCAATGTGGGTGCGCCGAGGCAAAAATTCCTCCTCCAACTCGACCACCACTCTCCCAATCTTTAATTTTCACTTTCTACTTAGTCCTGGTAATGCTTCAGGCTAGAGTGTCTTCGTCTCGTCCAGTCATCCACAGAGGCCTCCTCAGTCTTGTCAAATTTTCTTCCCCCATAGTAGCGTCTCCTTAGTCTTTCTACCAATATCGTCATCAGAAACTTTGAGAGTTGACCATCCCTTCGGTCTTGTCTCGTACCTGCCGTACTCCTAATCGTGGATGTTGAATCTGCAAACTAGGGCTAAACACCGAGGCCCCAATGCCCCAGCGTTTGTTGAATGCTCTGATCAATGCGTTGGAGGAATGTCTTACTATTTCGTCGGTGGCGCCGCGTAGTAGGTCGAGTTGCTGTTGTCGTTGGCTGAGGTCTAGACGAATATTGGGCCGGCCCTTTGACCGAACCTTCACAGCGCACAGCTTTTAGGACAGGATGAGTGTCTCATTTTATCGTAGATAGCAAGTGTGACTTTTGGATTATTGTTATAGTGTGCCAAGGGATTTATCAGGAGCTAGCTTAGTAAACTAGCCGAACCATGTACATGAATTATAGAGTACACACATCCGACTAGATAGAAGATACCCAAGTCTGCACATGTTAGTTCATTGCTCCCAACTCACACGATTGTTCCCCTCTCACATCGCTAGTCACCCATATTTATCCATTAAGATATCTTCCGCACGCTCATAATAATAACAGGCTATGAGCCCGGGCTCTTCAATAAATATGATAAACACAGATTCAGACAAGGTGACCTTATAGGAGTTCCATTAAACCAGGGGAAGAGCAGCTTATAAGCAAGACTCAGTATAATTGATGTCCCAGGCATAGATCCAATCATCCAGCCACCTAAACCGAAGGAAACTGATGACGATAAAGACGCAGCAAAGACCCATAAGATAGCGCTTGCAAGATGGTCGCACGGCAATTTTTGGGCAAAAGACGCGATCGTCACTCCATTGAGTCCCGAGCTGGTCCCCGAAGGCTATGATTAGATCACTGCAAAACAATTATATGACGAGCTAGCCAAAACTAGAATAACAACAGCCTCCGCACCGTACGAAACTGCTCTTGCCCAATTGTTAGAAACTAGATTCATTGCAACTGCTGATGAATACTGCGATGTATTTCTCAAGCGGCTGCAAAGTATTAATAATGCAGCTTCAGTTATGGCAGTTGCAGATGAATCGGCGACGTCAGAAGACTACAAAGTTCATAAAGGACAAACAGCAGCTTTATTTGTATTTGGCGCAAAATATGTGGATTGGCTAGACATATGGAGAGGCACGAAGACTCGAACGCTGAAAAACACCCTTGCACCACTGGATTACATAATGTCCACACTGCGAACCAAGGCTAGAGTCTGAGGCCAAGCACAGAAAATCGCCATGATGGCCACTCCACAACAGGATGTTAATAAAGTAGATCCAGAAGCAACATGTAGGCTGTGTTGGTATAAGCATAAAAATAAGTATTGCTACAGGCAACATCCGGAATTGTCGGTTGGACCTAAAGCAGAAAAGTGGCTGAGTAAGGGAAAATGCAAGGGCAAAGCAAAGGCA